TTCTATCTTTTATATTTTCTCTACAAAATATACTATGTTTGTCAAAACCACATAATAATCATCAGATGGGGCATTCATTTTCAAATATTCACCATAAAGAACTTAACTTTCTAGGCATGAACAGTTCCAAATTCCAATAGTCAAAGCTATGAAACATTAAAACATTTTTCCATAATCCTTACCGATTGCTAACATCTTATTTGAACAACTAGATCATCTAATATGAATATTACCGTTCATATTGTACACTTAAAACCTGAGATAAAATAGATAGTATAATTAGCTCGGAAAATCAAAGAGGCGCGTAAGAAGCAACATACCTGTATTGGGAGTCACCCAGGCACACCTCTTCTTGGCCACTGAACCTTCCATCACTGTACCATCACTGTCAACCCCAGAGATTTTTTCAACTTTGTCACTTTTCGGGCTGCATTGCTGCTTCCTTCTAATTGGTGCAGTAGGGGTGAAGCTCTGCCGGCTAATCCTCCCCGTGGAAGCCCGGCTGTGCGAAGAATCCGAGGACGCATCAGAAGAACATGAAGCGTTCAGTGACAAATTTGGCTGCCGAGTCCTCAAAACGGAGGCTGCACTTTTATTTTTTCTCTTAAAACCCATGACAGGAGATGATTGTTCAGTTTCGGTAGTTGCTGGAGACATTTTCCCCTCGGGCTCGTCACTGTCTTGGGGTTTCACGACTTTCTCGAAGTTGGGTTTCGAAATGGGCTTTCGCAAATCCATGGATCTAGCTTTATTTCCGGCTGGCCCGAGCACCGGCCTCGTTTCCGACTCAGTGAAATTCACCGATCTCACTCGTGGAGGTCCAGACATGAAATTAAACTAGTAAAAAACTACGGTTTAGAAAAACTAGCGGATAAGTGAAAATTAAAGCACACAACAGGTTCCAGTAAATTATTCAGTTTTCAAGAAGAATGGGAATGAGGGTACATTGTGATATAGAGGGGGTTGAGTACAGTTAATAAAACCTGTAGTGAAAGATTAAAATTGTGAGCCAATTCTTGTACTCTACCAGTTCCGGGACTAGGCTAGCCGGTTGGAGAAAGTAGGCGGTCCGATGGCGGAGCACGGCGTATGGAATCTGAGCAAAGCTAACGAACTACGACACCTAGTCGAGGATTCTTTCTAGAGAGAGGAAGGGGAAGATGGAGGAGAAGAGAGGGAAAAAACAAACCACTGACAAGTTGCCACATAAAGGACTAATTTGCTTTTATTTAGTTTTGCAGAAGAATAATTAATCAAGATTTTCCTTAAAACTGGTTTTAGGACTAAGCAGGTCTCTCATCTTTTCTAAATGTGCAAATAAGTCCTGCACATTTTAATTATCTTTATGTCATTCCAAAACATGAATGCGATTGAAGGACTTTTGGACGGTTGCAATTTAATATTCTGTTAGTTTCTCCAAGGAAAAAAAAAAGGGTCATTTTTTCACTTAAAATAATTAAAATTTTATTAACAAAAAAGGAGAGGAATTTTAAAAACGGATTGAAATATTCTTTAGGGGTGTTAAATAGGACAGATCTAGTCATTTGTCTCACCTCGGCTCAACTCGCTCAAGAAAAATGTGACTTGCTATAATTTTATTTATTTTGAATCATTTCTCTCGATGTGGCGAGCTGACTCTCACATAAGCCAAATTAAAATTCAGATTTTAATTTTAAATCAAAATCAACAACTAATTTTTACTACACATTTTATGAGAC